ACTCCGACCCTCTCCTGGACTTTTCACGGCAGCTAGGGCTCATCTGGTTCCGGCAACGGCGCTCTATGTTGCACAGCACACACACTGCCTGCCAGCCCCAGGTTCCAGGGGCTTGCAGCTCATTTATACTCCATGGTCGCAGGCCCTTTGTCTCTGAAGCTGTGATCCAATAGCCTACACTCCATCCTTCTCCCATGGTGGGCTTTTCTTTGTGGGGGTGGGGTGGGGATGGGGAGAAGGGGTAAGTATTCTTCACTTCAATTTGGGTAGTCTCACTTGGACAAATAAACTGTGAAAATTAAAACCCAATTGTTCAGCAGGGTCTGTTTTTTCATAATGGATCTAGCCCACGGGTTTTGTGCCCTACACCACAACACCTAGCAAAGCACCCAGCAGAGTGCTCTGGGCCCCGCCTCTAGTCTCTGCTTCTGTCACCACTGCCCTGACCTGACCCAGGCCAATTGTAGCTCTTCGCTGCCTAAAGCAGGGGCCTCTTTATGGGTCCTCTGGCCCCACCCCTAGACAGTTCCCTGTGACACACAAATCTGACCATGTTCCCCACCCACCCCCACTCCACCCCCATCTCCGCCCTGCTTCCACAGTTCACCTAGATTAAATCTGAACTATTTTACTTGCACAAAAAGCCTCTGAGCGCTGGCCTCTGCCTTCCGCTCTGCCAGGCTCCAAGCCCAGTGCCTGCACTCTCTCCTGTAAGGCAACCCCGCCCCTGGCCCAGCTGTTCCTGCCACCAGCCATCTGGAGACCCCCAGCCAGGAAGGAGGACAGGAGGCCTTCCCCTACACTCCTGGGTGGCAGTATAGAGGCCCACATCAGCTGAAAACAGTTCCAGGGTTCCTGTCCCGCTGTTTCTTTATTGTCTGCCGCCCCCGCCCCCCCCCCCCCCCCCCGCAGCAACTTCCAGTCTCCAAAAGACAGGGGCCGTGACCTTGGTCTCTGCCCATTCAACCCACTGTAGAGTGTCCCAAAGCACAGTGCCAACTGTCAATTTATTGCCAAATAAATGCACTGAGCACAAATTTAGCCTGAGTTCTCATGAGCAGATCTGAGGCCTTGCATGTCACCATCGCCAGCAGTCATAGGCTGACAGTGTCAATATGGAGCAAAGTTGTCAGCATGCAAGCTGACTGCTGCCTGGGGGCGTCCTGGTCCAGAGCAAAAGGAACTCAAGATTGTGGCAGCCAGGCCTGGGGGGTGGGGAGGGGGTGTGGTGAGGCAGCAATCGAGCCCCAACACCTCGCAGACAGGAAACAGACCTAGGGCATTTTCCCCAAAATCAGGACAGAGGCGTGGGACTGTGTGCCACCTCCAGTGCCCATGCAACCTTGGACCTCAAGACCTTCAGGCGCGTCAAGGCCGGGTGTTCCCTCCTGCCTTCTCTGAGTGCCATGCTTCTGATGGGCAGGGGGAGGGCAAGGGATGAGCTGGCAGGAAACACAAACCAGGCAGAGGGTGCCAAGGTGTTGGGAGGAACAATCTCCTGCTTAGCAGAGCACTGCAGGGAGACACCACCTATCTGGCTGGGTGGTGCCTGTGCTGGGATACGAAACACCTGGACAGCCACAGGCCTTTGGGACAGCAGGTAGATTCCCATCCTCAAAAACCAGAAAAGACAAACCAAAACAGCACAGACAACATTCCTGCCACTCACTGGACACATTTGGTGGGAAAAACACCACCTACACCATCGCCCCACCCCCATTTGCTTCCAAAATAGGAAAAGCCAGGGTGAGGCAGTTTAACACTGACACGGTAGATGAAGCTTACACTCCACCTTCTTAAAACAACACTTTGTGCAAAGAAGGCCCCAGGTTTGGAACTCCCCTGTTCATGGCTTCATAAAACACTGATTTATTGACCTACAAAGACATATCCTTATTGTTTCAGTTTTCCCGGTGTCACAATTACTGGTAGATAAACCGAAAAAGGCAAGTTCGTATTTCCTTATCAACACGGGCATGTGCTTGTGTGTGGGGGCTCGGTGGGGAAAGGAAACAACAGGAGGTGTGGGTGAAATTTTGATCACCAACAGGGACTGAAAGGCCCCATCCCATGTGGCCCTGTTCCCAGGGACGGTGTTCCTGGGGCCCCACGGCCCCCCTGCACGAGAGGGCAGCACAGGCGCAAGCACCCCCATCCTGCCCCAGCACCCCAGCCCCATCCCAGGGGGTCTCCTGGCAGGGGTCTCCCTGCAGCTTTTTACAGGTATTTTAGTCTACTTCTCATCGTCTCCCCCCCCCACCTCCACGAGGGCTACCTGCAAGTTATCCCAGCACTACAATGGTGGGACTTTTTGAGTTACCAGCTCTACGCTCCGGAGAGGGTCATGGGGGCCTGGCACAAGCCTTGCCCTCGCACCCCTCTGCATGCATCCCGTAATCATTTCCTCTCTGCAGCTCGGTTGCCTGGCTGGCCTTCCATGACTATTTCAGCCGCCTCTTCCTCCCAGGTGGCCCGGGTTCCTTCTCTCTCCACGCTACATTTCTTCCCATCCACTGCTCTATTGCTCCACAGTCATTCCAGGATGCCCATCTCTCCGCTATGCTAGGCTCCACGGCGGTTCAGCACAGCCGGCCTAGGTTCCACTGCATCTGCCTTCAAGTCATGGAAAACCTCGGAGCAGCAGGTAGGGCTGGGTGCAACCAACTACCTTTAACCAAGAATGGGCTAAGCTATACTTTCTTACTTACCTCTGGAAACAAACTCCCTCACAAAGGCAGGCCGACAGGGACGGAGCCACAGGCCAAAGTGAACAGGGCTTTTCAGCACATCTAAATCCACACAACAGGAACACAACCCTTTCTAGACAACTTTCTGATCACTGTCCTGTAAAGCCAATCCCCCTTCTTGCCCCAAGGGTGAGCATTCAAGGCTTCAGCGACTGTTAGTGAAATTCCTGAACTTCTGAAATAAAACAGGTGGACCAAAGCAGCAGGTATCCCAGCATTTGAAAACACAGTTATCTCTGGAAGACAATAATATAACACTTTGTCTACTTCACCTTTTCAGAGAGAACAGATTCACAGATGAGATGCCTGGCACAAAATAAAACAAGCAGGACAGCAAGCCAGGCTCAATCGATTGGAGCTGACCGAGGCAAAAGCTTGCATGTAACTCAAAACACACCGGATCCAAACGGGCTCGGGAGGACCGCGGGAGAAACGGTATTTGTTCAAAGGTGTGGGGAAACAGACTTATTTCCAACACCATTGCCTGTTAGTCCCAGAACCTAAGGCATTTCACACACGAATAGATAAAGGTCTTTGAAAAAGTTCGTGGAAAAACAAATGATAGGCTAAGCCTATTTTGGTGCCCAAAAAAAAGAAAGTTTGAAATTCATGCTTTTATGAACTGGCTAAAATAGGGGAAAACGGCATCTGATGCAGTGTGCCAAGTGAGCTGCTTTCCCAACCCTGCCCAAGCAGCTCTTTCTCGGGTGCCGGCTACGCCATGAAGCCACAGGCTCTTAGTTCAAACAAGGCAGCACCGGTTCAGCCCGTGGAACACTTCAGGAAGAACACACGTGAGGTGCAAACGTGAAAAACGCCTTGGGCTTTTCCGCCTTCCTTGCCCTCTAAGCAGCCCAAGGCTGGGAATGAAGTGGAAGGAATCTTGGTGAGGATCCCTGCACGCCTCTATCTCCTTTCACCCGCGGGGCCCTGGTCCGCAGTGAGCTCCAGGCAGCTTCTGAAGACACCATGAAAACCAGCCACCCCCATCCTTCCCTCTGTGGAGCCTCCAGGACCAAGGGTTTCCCTGGAGCCCACAACAGGTTCGCTGCGGTGCTTGGAAACCACACTGAGGGATCTACCTGCTCAGCAAAATGGGCAGCCCCACCACCCCCCCTCCCCCCACATCCCCGCAATATCCTGCCCCCGTGGGACATAGGCTGGAAGCCCTTGTCTGCCAGGGGCGCTCCTGAGGCCAGGGGTGGGGTCTGCACCAGGAGCACCCTCCCCCGCCCCTATTTCAGGGACCAAGGGCATCAGGGCTTTTTCAGGGTGGAAATTTCCCCTCTGGGGCGTTCCAGTTGGATCTGTGGGTTCCCTGCCCAAGGGCGTGCAGGGTCCAGAAGCCCCAGAGAGAGCAGAGGGGGGCTCCTGCCCCTTGCCAGCCCGCGCGAAGGCGCAGAGCACCGAGCTCTTGGACGCGTCGAGCGTGCGTAACCTGCTTTTCTCCAGCCGCCCAAATATTAGACCCTAACTCGGGCTTCAAAGAGTTCAAAGGAACACGCAACTCCCCGGCTCCTCGGCCCCAGAACTGACAGACCTCAAACGGCTGCCGGGGGACAGTCGGACGGGCGAAGGGGCTGCAGAAACGGAGGAGACAGAAAGAAAGCCGGGCAACTCCTTGGTAGAAACGTGCAAGCCGAGTTTCCGCGGGGAGCTCCGCGCACCACTGCAGGCGGCCGGGGACTGTGCGGCCCGGGCCAGGGACGCGCTCAGGGCCCCGCGGACAGAGGCCCGGGCCAGGGACACGCTCAGGGCCCCGCGGACAGAGGCCCGGGCCAGGGACGCGCTCAGGGCCCCGAGGACAGAGGCCCGGGCCAGGGACGCGCTCAGGGCCCCGAGGACAGAGGCCCGGCCGGGACCCCGCTCCCACGGGGGCGTGGTCTGTCTCGGCTCCCAGCCCGCCGCGTCCTCGGCGCGGGCACGGGCATTCAGCAGGTGCTCAAGACGGTGTTGGAGAGTAAATATCACCCCAAAGCAGCTTTTGGAAGAGAGCGTGTCTGAGGAGCGGGGTCCCCTAAGCCTCCCGGATCTGCACCCCGGCACCCCGCGACTACCACTTAGCTCCCCCACCCCTTTAACTCTCCAGCAAAGTCCAGGTTGTCACCCACGGCTCGGAAACAGCAGGCGAGGTCCCCAGGTTTCCAGGACGTAGCCCCGGGGCTCCGCGCCTGGGTCCCTCCCGGAGAGACTTCAGGAAGGAAACGGGCCTCGGCGCGCCGGGCTCGGGCTCGGCAGGCAGCGGCTCCTTACCTGCAGCGGGGCGAGCAGGGTCCACAGCGCCAGCAGCGCGGGCAGCGGGCGGCGCCGCCGGGCGCGCGGGGCCATGGCTCGGTGCGGGCCGGCTGCGCGCCGCGGCCTCTGCGGCCCCTGTGGCCCCGTGGGCGCGGCCGCCCCAGGCCCGGCTCGTCCCGCCCCGCCGCGCGCCGCCCCGCCCCGGCACCTGCCCCGGCGCCAGCGCCGACCCTGCGCCCCCCTCCGGCCGGGCGGCGCCGGCCAGGTGGTGGCCGATCGTGGGGCGCGGCCGCCGGGGCAGCCGGCCTCTGCTGCCCCGGCCCCTCGGGAGTGTTCACCTTGCTCAATGCCTCCTTTGTCTGGGCCGCTCCCTGGGCCAGGCGGCCCTGGGCGCGCGACGCGGCCCGCGGGCGTTCTTCCTTGACAGTCCGGAGTGGCGGGCCGGCTGGCCAGCTACCAGCTCTGGCTGGTCTTCTCACGCTCCTAACTCCCGGCCTTCCTGCGCTCCAGGCCCGGCGGGGCCGGCCTCCTGGAAATGAGGGCAGCCCGCTCCTGCCAGGCCCGGCCTTGGGGAGGTTGTTACTAAGGACAGGAGACTCCTCAGGCGAGGTATCAGAGACTGCGGATGCAACGGGCCATCCGCCCGGCCTCCTGTGTGGCCCTCTCCTCCAGCTGTGATCTCTGCCCTCATTCCTGCCTACCCACCCGCACCCAGCTCTCCCGCTTGACATCAGCTTTCAGCGCCACCACATCAGGGACCATTTTGCTCTCTGGAACTAACCCTGTGCCTTCTGTTGTGCCTGTCGCTTCTCATTTCCTGCTCACGTTCTGGGACCCCGGTACTGTTTGTAAGATACTTGCTGCATGCTAATAGAGTACGTTGTTTTGAAACCCTTCAGTACCAGAACCATCTGCCTGCCTTATTTTGGGCCCATTACATCCTAGTGATTTTCTTTCTTCATTTATTTTTTTAAGACTTATTTATTTATTGGAAAGTCAGATATACAGAGAGGAAGATCTTCCGTCCGATGATTCACTCCCCAGGTGAGCGGAACGGTCAATGCTATGCTGATCCAAAGCCAGGAGCTAGGAACTTCTTCCGGGTATCCCACACCGGTGCAGGATCCCAAGGCTTTGGGCCGTCCTCAACTGCTTTCCCAGGCCACAAGCAGGGAGCTGGATGAGAAGTGGAGCTGCTGGGATTAGAACTGGTGCCCATATGGGATCCCTGCGTGTTCAAGGCAAGGACTTTAGCCACTAGGCCACGCCGCCGGGCCTGTCCTAGTGATTTTCTGTCTACTTGTTGAAAAATGTGGAAATGCTGACTGATAACAAGAACCTATGATCCCCTTAAGTTGTTTCGTTTCATCCCTCACCCACCCCAGGTTTTAAAAACTGATTAGAGCCACAACATGGAGCATTGCTCCCATGTGGGTGAGATTTCAGATTCTGAAGTCTATTTTGTGATTAATGACAGCAGATTCATCTTCCTATAAAGTACGTGTTTTACTCGCCAGCTGCAGCTCCAACATTCCACGTATCTGCAGGTGAATGCTGATTCCTGTTGCTCCATTTGCAGTGCACCTCCCTGGTAATTACCTGGAAAAGTCCTTGGTTGGAGAACTGGAAGGAATTTCTGGTTCCTGGCTTTAACCTGGCTTATCCCCTGACGATGTGGCTATTTGATGATTGAACCAGTGGATGGAGAAGTTGCTTTTTCTCTTTGTTTCTGTCCCCCTCTCTGTATTAACTCTGCCTTTTAAATAAATACATATGTGTGTGTATCTATATCTTTTTAAATAGAACAAAAGAACGAATGAGTCTTTTATTGTGTTCAGTTTCACAATCTCTGCCTTTCTATTGGCCCATTTACATTTAATGTGAATTGATCTGATAAAGCTTAAGTCTGCCATTTTGCCATTTGCTCTTTATTCCTTTTTTCTTGCTCTGCTCCCTTCTTTCAGATTATTTCTGGACTATGTTCTCTCCACTGTTAGCTTATTTTATATACTTCCTTTTTTTTTTAAGTGATGACTCAGTTTATAATATGCCTTTACAACTCACCAGAATCTGTTCTCAGATAAAATTCTTCCACTTAATATGGAAGGTGAGAGGGCACGGTTCCGTTCCCCCTGCATACTGTGCTAGGTCACAGTACAGGCCTGAAGACAAGTACATAGTAAGCGTGAATGTTCTGGCCTCTTGTTATCTGGAATCTGGAGACAGCTTTCTGGAAGAAGCTGTGGTCCAGCTGGCAAAAGGAACTGCCTAGAGGAGTAGGTACTTTCACTGGGGCACTTCATGAGAAATACCAAGCCTTACTCCTGGCATGTTTCCAACACTACCACCTTCTATTTTCAAAAGAGATTAGAGGATTTAAAACTTCTGCTTGGAAAGCCCCAGAGGTGAACGTGCTGGTTTTGGAAGCACTCTGAGCAGTAGAATGCCATGTTCGACACACTCAGACTGCTAAAATTCTTTTTAATTTTCAAAAACCAAAATACATTGGAATCTCTGTATCTTTACAAAGCTGCCTCTCACATAATTCAACTTTCTTATATTCACCGGTGCAGAATTCCATTTGTCAATAACAAAAGTCAATCACATGGGATTGAGCATCTTTCCTGCATCTATAGCATGACCATGAAAAGCGTGGAAGTAAGCTGTCTCAGATACCGTCTGTGTAGATCCACTGGAGAAATGCCTTCATTGTAGCTAAGATGGTTGTTTGCCGTTCGTACTGACTAATGAAACATCGTGATTTAAAAACCCCACATTGGGCCTGGCGCGGTGACCTAGCAGCTGAAGTCCTCGCCTTGAATAAAAATGAATAAATCTTTTTTTTTTTCAAAGTGTAGCATTGAATTATGGATTATATAATACATGTGAGAATGTATTGTAAACAATAGATGCTTTACATTTATTAAATGTTTTCAATTTTGAAAAAGTAATCAGCTGACAGTGTAGCTGCTTCTTTTGGGAGGGAACAAATGATGTCAGCCATGTATCTTCGTGTTCGTGTTGGGATCACAGGGATCACTTGGCACTCCGGAGTTGCAGGTCTCTGTGCAAATCTCTTCTGTGTGTATTGTGTACCGTGGCAGGACAACTGATTGGATCTGCAGGGCTGGTTTACATAACAATGAAAGGCAGGGGTGTGGGAGGAATTGAGGGACTCTGTCGGAAGACAATTGATTTGATCTGTTGGCCTAGTTTACAAAACAGAATTGCCTCCAAGATGGCATAAGGGAACTCCCTCTTGCTTTTGCTTTGTAAACATATCAATCCCACCCTTATCCTATGTGACCCTCGGTCTTTAAAAGCCTGTTGCTTTCAGTCAACTTCCTCTTCACCATCATCGCACGGTCTCTGTGTGAATCAGTTCCATACCCCAGTTCATTGATGCCAGACAACCAACCAGACACCCGAACAGGGACTTGAAAGCAGTTCGAAAGTGTGACGGAGACACCAACAGGAAGAGGTAAGTGGGAATGTGGGCCAGAATCAGTGTAGAGTGCAATATTTTATTTCTCTTGTACAGAACTTTTTAAAATATTTATTTGTATTGCAAAGTCAGATCTACAGAGAGGAGGTGAGACAGTAAGATCATTTGTCGGGCGGTTTACTCCCCAAGTGACCACAACGGCTGGAGCTGAGCTAATCCGAAGCCAGGAGCCAGGAACTTCCTCTAGGTTTCCCATGTGGGTGCAGGGTCTCAAGGCTTTGGGTGGTCCTCAACTGATTTCCCAGGCCACAGGTAGGGAGCTGGATGGAAGTGGAGCTGCCGGGATTAGAATCGGTGCCCACATGGGATCCTGGTGTGTTCAAGGCGAGGACTTTAGCCGTTAGGCCACCGCGCCGGGCTGGTACAGAACTTTTTAGTGAAAAGTGGAGCAAAGGTAACTAGGCAGCAATTGCTTTGTTGCTTAGAGGCTATTGTTGTTGTTGCTTTTAAAAATTTATTTGTTTCTATTGGAAAGTGTGATGTGTGGAGAGGAGGAGACAGAGAAGTTCTGCGTGCTAATTCACTCCCTGAGTGGCTGCAATGGCTGGAACTAAGCTGATCCGAAGCCAGGAGTCAGGAACTTTGGGCCATCCACTGCCTTCCCAGGTTGCAAGCAGGGAACACGATGGGAAGTGGGGCCACCAGGATACAAACCAGTGTCCATATGGGATCTCAGTACATCCAAGGCAAGGACTTTAGCCACTAGGCTATTGTGCCAGGTCCTGCTGAAGTGTTTTTTGAAGACTTATTAATTTTTTTAATTGGAAAGTTAGAATTGCAGAGAGAAGGAGAGACAGAAGCATCATTCCCCAAGTGGCAGCAATGGCTGGAGCTGAGTTTAGCCCATGCGAAGCCAGGAGCTTACTCAGGCCACAGGCAGAGTACTGGATGGAAAATGGAGCAGTCCTGTTATAGTTTAAGAAGGGGCACTTGGAAGAGATGCCTAAGAAAATATGCCCCATTGTACAGATGAGGAAGAAAGAGAAAGGGAACCTATGAGGTACTCCTAACAGGAAAGGCTGCCGCAATACAGCTAAAAAAAAAAAAAGGCAAAGCCTCAGAGGACTGGTTAGGAGAATGGAAAAGGAGAACCGAACAGGAGACACTACCAAAATGCAGCTAAAATGAAAGGCCATGGGTGGTAGGGTAGTCCAGTGGCTAAAGTCCTCTCCTTGAACCTTTCAGGATGCCATAGGGTTGCCGGTTCTAATCCCAGCGGCCCACCTCCCGTCTGGCTCCCTGCTTATGGCCTGGGAAAGCAGTCCAAATGGCCCAAAGCCTTGGAACCCTCACCCACATGGGAGACCCGGAAGAGGCTCCTGGCTTTGGTTGTTGGGGCCATTTGGGGAGTGAACCAGTGGATGGAAGATCTTACTCCCTGTCTCTCCATCTCTCTGTATATCTGACTTTCCAATGAAAATGAAATAAATCTTTTTTAAAAAAGAGAAAGGCCTTATACTACAGATAGAAGATAGAAAACTCAAGAAAGACTCTCCTAATGGGAGATGCCACAGCATTGTGGCTGGAAAAGAAACTAAAACTTGGGCTGAATGTGGTAGCCTAACAGCTGGAACACTCATGTTGGTTCTGCTGGGATCCCACGTGGGTGCTGGTTCATGTCCCACTGTTCCACGTCCCATCCAGCTCCCTGCCTGTGCCCTGGGAAGGCAGTGGAGGATGGCCCAAAGTCTTGGGACCCTGCAGCCGTGTGGGAGATGTAGGGGAGGCTCCTGGCTCCTGACTTTGGATTAGCTCAGAGCTCAGCTCTGGCCATTGTTGCCATCTAGGGAGAGAACCAGCAGACAGGATTTTTCTCTCTGTATCCCCTTCTCTATTTTTGACCTTCCAATGAAAATAAAAATAAATCTTCGAAAAAATAAAAACAAAACTAAAACTTCCCTGTTAAAACAGCAAAATCACAGGACTTATCAGAATCATCTGGTGAATAAAAGGAGGATGGGATGAAGGTCCCCGCCCAGCTGCCTCGCCCTTAAATCTGATCAAGGCCACCTGGAAACCTGAGCTGCGATTGCTTTTTCCAATTACACTTAGTCAAGAAAAAAAAAATAAACCTGTAAATAAGAATCCATCACAACTTTTCATTGTTTCACGACAGAGTTTAATAGGCACTGGGGTCTCTCCTCTTCCTTAAATTTCCTCCCCTCCCCACTGATCGCCCCTCCAGGTCCCAAGTCCGTCATGCTGTCCTGAGATGTCTCCCAACAATGTAGGCAGTCCAACATTCAACCGTCAGGACATAATCGGCCATTTCGCTGAGGGTCCGTCCTTGTACTGCCTGCGTGGAGACATAACTTCCCTTTGCTTCTATTTGTGCACATAATTCTGCTATCCTTCCATTATGGATCCCTTTAAATACAGAGGCAGTGTGCACAGTCTGCCCTGGGGAGAAAAAATAGTGAACCTTCATCCACATGAAGTAAACATGTGACAAAGGTAGCAGTGTGACGTTTGGGTGGTCAAGAGTGTCCACAATCTTCATGATGGAACAGCTGCCAGCGTGTGTCCCATGTGGCACTAGTGAAAGTACAATAAGCACTGGATCCCCATTACTTACGGGCAGTAACATTAACAGTGATAAAGGGGATATAATCTCAGGTGATTATAAGCAATCAGTCTCTTATGGATAATTGGTTAATGAATTACATCACAGGACTTGTTATGAAAGGTACAAATAATTAGGAAGTGCAAAAAGGTAAGATTTATAGGTAAGATCTTTAAATTTAACTCCATTTTACTGTAAATTGTAATTGGAAAGTCATCCATGTGACAATGCGCAAACCTTCCCCTACCTATGTTAGCTTTGGATCTCCTCAAGGCACAGTCTTTTTTTTTCTTTAAAGATTTATTTATTTTTATTACAAAGTTAGATATACTGAGGAGGAGACAGAAGATCTTTTGTCCAATGGTTCACTCCCCAAGTGGCCACAACGGCTAGAGTTGAGCCAATCTGAAGCCAGGAGCCTTCTCCAACAGGTGCAGGGTCTCAAGGCTTCGGGCTGTCCTTGACTGCTTTCCTAGGCCACAAGCAGGGAGCTGGATGGGAAGCGGGGCCGCCAGGATTAAAACTGGCACCCATATGGGATCCCAGCGCGTTTAGGGCAAGGACTTTAGCTGCTAGGCCACACCACCAGGCCTGAGAAGGGCTTTTTTTTTTTTTCAAGATTGATTTTGTTGGGGCCCAGGGTGATAGCGTACTGGTTAAATAAAAACTTTAGCCACTTGGCTATGCTGGGCCTGAAACAGAAGATCTTATGTGTTATCTGAAAGCCTGCCATAATATAGGGACATTCAAGTCTTTGCTATTCAAAAATGTTTTAATTGTGGCACACTGGGTTGCCTTCTTAAACAATGCTAAGTGCCTCCTTTTATGTATATATGTATGTACATTGGAAAGTCAGGTTTACAAAGCGAAGGTGATGGGAAGATCTTCCCTGCACTGATTACTCCCCAAATGGCAGCAACGGTCGGAAGTAAGCTAATTTGAAGCCAGGAGCCAGGGGCTTCCAGGTATCCCACATGGGTGCAGGGTCTCAAGGCCTTGGGCTATCTTCTGCTGCTTTCCCAGTCCACAGGCAAGGAGCTGGAAGGGGAGTGAAGCAGCTGAGACACTAACCAGTGCCCACATGAGATCCTGGCACATGCAAGGCAAGAACTTTTATCGCGCTGGGCCCAATTGAACACTCCATTTAACTAAAAACTATGGCGTTAATATTGCTAACAATCACTCCGCTGGAATTTGTCCTAATTATGGAGCAAAAGAATGTAAATCTAAAATTGAGAGCAAGTCCAATGTCTGTGGCCAGGAAATTCCTGGTGGGGCCACCCACATGACCTAACCAGAGGCTTACAAAACAATATCCTATTTGTCTGGACAATAGTAACAGACTAAAAACCCATTTTCTCAATATCCCATCTGTGCTCAACATCCTGCATGTATAGAAATCCTGGAGGATAAAATTCTAATGAATAGTGACATGGATGTTATTTATCAATTTTTTCTAGACAATTATTCCTAACCAATGTGCTAATTCATATCTATAAACTTTTATGTGAATAAATAAAATCTAATGTATATTATCATGTAAAGATCCTATTTTTACCATATATTTTAAACCTTGCCATACTTGATAGCATCCAGAAAAAGTACTACCAAATGCCAAGTGGTGCAAAATACTGTTATATTGCGATGCTACTGCTACAGTTGTCAAAAAAAAAAAAGTATAGATGTCTAATTTGTGTGATTTCAAAGAGTTTCAGGAAGGGTAACATCTAACTAATGGAATGTGAGCAGAGAAATCGCCATGAACTCAGTAAGCAAGAAAGACCTGAATCTTGCATCAGATGGGTTGTCCAACCCCAGTGAAGTCTAGCAAAAAGCAGGGAGATCAGAAAACTCAGTCCCAGAGAGAACCTGACCCATGGTACAGGCTGAGCATCTGTTGGCCAACCAACTCTTTCCTGGATAGCTTAAACTTCCCTATTAGCCTCTCTGTCAGAGGGAGGCAGGTAAGACAGTGGGGCACTATGCACAGGCATGGGGTGGCGCTGTGGCAGGGACAGAGCAGCAGCAGCCTCAGGGGAGTGGGGTAACTCCTGAGTGACCTGTTAGCGAGCCTGTGCGCCTCACGAGCCAGCCAGCGGAGGGGCAATCCCTTTGGAACAGGTCACCATGTTTTGATAACTTTTACATTCATGCAGGGGAGTCTCAGTCGTGACATCTGGAAAGGTTGGCAGAAGAAAGGCCTGCAGAGCAGCGTGTGAATCCGAGAAGAGCAGGGCGGCATTGCAGGTCACACTTCCCGCAGGCTGCCCATCCTCCGAGAAGGGTTGAAGAGCAGCAGTTAACAATGGAAGACGAAGAGCCAGGGACAGCCTTCCCACCTGGAGCATCTCCTGCTAAAGTGGATCAAGAACTCATTGCGCTACTAGTAAAAGAAACAGAAGCAAGGTTTCCAGATGTAGCAAATGGATATGTTGAAGAAATAATTCACTTGAAGAATCATTACGATTTAAATGAACTTTGTAATTTTCTTCTGGAAAATTCAGATTATCCAAAGAGAGAAGATGGAGTCAAGGTGAACCCCATCAGCAGCCTGTTTGCCAGCCAAGATGAGACACAACCCCACGCAGTGGACTTCTTTGACTATTCCCAATTGGCTCCTCTGGACGAACCCTGCTTCCTTCAAGCTGCTGACCTCCTGATGACCGACTTCAGGATGATCAGCTGCCAGGACATCAAGTGGGCCCTGCGCAAGTTCAAGGGACACTATGCAATCACTCGCAAGGCCTTTTCTGATGCCATTAAAAAACAGCAGGAACCAGCACCAAAAGCCAGCGGGAAAAGGAAAAAGAAAAGAAATACGAGCCCATTTTCTTACATGGACTTCAAGTTTGAACAAGGTGACATCAAAATAGAAAAGAAGATGCTCTTTCTGGAAAACAAGCGGCGAGACTTTAGGTCCTATGACCGGCAGGCTCTGCTTCCGGCCGTGCGGCGGGAGCAGGAGTTCTATGAGCAGAAGGTCAAAGAGATGGCAGAGCATGAAGATTTTCTGCTGGCCCTGCAGATGAATGAAGAACAGTATAAAAAAGACAGCCAGCTGATAGAGTGCCGCTGCTGCTACGGGCAATTTCCATTTGAAGAGCTGACCCAGTGCATGGATGCTCACTTGTTCTGCAAAGAGTGTCTCGTTAGATACGCCCAAGAGGCAGTCTTCGGGGCTGGAAAGTCGGAGCTCAGCTGCATGGAAGGCAGCTGCACGTGTTTGTTCCCGACCAATGAACTGGAGAAGGTGCTTCCGCAGACCATCCTGTCCAAGTACTACGAACGGTTAGCCGAGGAGGAGGTCGCGGCAGCCTTTGCCAGCGAGCTGGTCAGGTGTCCCTCCTGTAATTTCCGTGCTGTGCTGGACAATGACGTGAGGAAATTCAGTTGTCCTAACCCACACTGCCGAAAGGAAACCTGTCGAAACTGCCGGGCGCTCTGGAAAGTACATGATGGTCTCACCTGTGAAGAGCTGGCTGGGAAGGATGATACCAAGTTCCGAACCTTCATTGAAGAGAAAATGGCTGCTGCCTGCATTAGAAAATGCCACAGGTGTGGGACTGGCCTCATCAAATCTGAGGGCTGCAACCACATGTCCTGCCGCTGTGGTGCCCTGATGTGCTACCTCTGCCGAGAGCCCATCAGTGGGTACGACCACTTCTGCCAGCACCCACGCAAGCCGGGAGCCCCTTGCCAACAGTGTTCCAGGTGCTCCCTCTGGACTGACCCCACGGAAGAAGATGAGAAGGCAATTGAGGAAATCCGGAAGGAGGCCGAGGAGGAACAGAAAAAGAGGAATGGAGAAAACACATTCAAACGTATCGGCCCCCCGCTGGAGAAGCGCCCTGTGAAGGTGTCGAGACAGGACGCCTTGCCCAGGCCTCTGGTGCGGATCCTGCACCCGCCACAGATGCCACACTACAGACGGCCACACTTCCCGCAGCAGCCCTTCTTACAGCCGCTCTTTTGGCCCATGCCCAACAACTTTCTACTGAACACAAGACCCATCGCAGTCCCCTTCGTGCCCCCTACGCCGAATAGGAGGGTCAACTATAACTTCGGCCCCATTAACTTGGCCCTGGAGTACCCCCAACACATGCACTTTCGTCACTGGAATTACTTCTGATGCCTGGAGCTCCCAGCCATCCCTGCGGGCAGTCATGGTATTTGGGGGGTGGAGGAGTTTGAATGGGGAGCCCCCCAAGAGCTAATGGTTCTGTCCATGCCTTCAGTAGCATGGGGGGTGGGCTCTTGAGGTGGGCTTCTTTTTCTAATAAGACTGGTCTGGTGTTCAATGGATCTGAGAGAAAGGGGCAGCAAAGCCCTCTTCCACAAGAGCTCTGCCATCTTAGCAGGTAACATGCCTGCATGCTAGTTACCAGCCTCATTCCTGTGCAGTTTGATTTGAGCCATCTGCTGAACAGAGGCCCAAAGCTGCCAGCTGCTCTGCTGAGGCGAGCCCTTGTCGCAGAACATGTCACCTTAATCTGTCTCCAGCCCTCCTGCTGGCATGGCCTGGACATGTGAGCCAACGAATGTATCCTCAGATCACTTCGAGATCCAAGTGGAGGTATAATCTAAGAGGACTCATTCCTTGGTGGTCACTGGGGCCGAGCGTGGGGCATCCTGCCACTGTCTGCCACCAGCTCCATGGGGCTGTGCCCAGAGCCTCTAAGTCAGTAAAACACACTAACTGTGCTTACTCCAGGGAGAGCCTCTGCGGGCAGAGGACAGCAGATGGGATGGTGACCCTTAAGCAAACCCATTAACCTAGGACATGGGTCCAGCTGAACCCTGCCCACCAGTCACATTAGGGGGCTCCAACATGGAGCCATGGGGGAACAGGCAACTGCTGAGGCAGGCCTGGGTGATACACCAAAGGCTGAGTCAGCGTGCTGGCTGTTGGGGAGGAAGCTTTGCCCTTCACCCTGCAGGGCAGCTGCTCCTGGAGTCTAGCAAGGCCTGCGGAGACCACCGCAGGTTCCAGGTCCCAGGTCCCTCCATTTCCCAAAGCAAGGTCCAGGCTGATACGTTTGAATGTCCTGAAGAGGAGAGGAACCTAGTATTTGCATTTAACAAATGACTGAAAAACAGAAGTGTATATAATCTATCGCTTTGTTCTTCATTGTGTGAGTCTTTATGTTAAAACTGTTTGATCTGGAACCCGGCACGGTAGCCTAGTGTTCACCTGGCATGTGCCGGAATCCCACATGGGCACAGGTTTGTGTCCTGGCTGCTCCAGTTGTCATCCAGCTCCCTGATATGGCCTGGGAAAACTTGGGACCCTGCATCCACGTGGGAGATCTGGAAGAAGTTCCTGACTCCTGGCTTTGGATCGACTCAGCTTTGGTCATTGTGGCCACTTGGGGAGTGAACCAGAAGATGGACCCTCTATCTCCTGTGTAAATCTGACTTTTCAATAAAAATAAATCTTTTTTAAAAAGTTTGATTCTTCAAGTGTGGTGCAGAGAACAATTGCTAGCCAGATGTCCAACAGGTCCCTGCAGTGTGTATTTAGCAGAAGAAAAGCTGCTGTTTTCCAGGGACGCTGCTTGGCCTCAATGCTCCATGAGATCGGATGAGGAATGGCTCCATAATAAATTTCAGTTTTATGCCACTCTTTTCCAACTAGTTGCTTTAGGAAACTTAAATTGTTAACATGCAGTATTGTCTGTTTGGTCAGTAAATGTTACCTTAACTACTTGTGAATTAGCTTTTCTGATGTACACTCCCCTGCTGGGCCACGGCTTCTGCTGGTAAGCATGAGAGCTGGGACTGGGGGCAGAACCAAGATTACAATACTTTTTGGCTGGCATGTGATCTAGGTTAGCAGGAGAGGTGGGTTGGGCGAACTGCCTACCTACTGGTGTGAGCATGAAGCAGAAAAAGGTAAGGCTGCTTGGGCTGCCAAGGAGATCATTGGAAATTTGACTACTTTGGAAGCTGAGAGCTCCGGGGGTCAGCCAGTTCTTAGATCTCTCACTTGGGACTGAAGCAGTGTCCTCCACAGATGCTGATGACAGCATCAGAGCAGCACCCAGGACCCCCAGTGGTTCTCATGGTGGAAGCCTTCATATCCTTCTGGACACAAGAGAGCAACTTTCTCTTAGGTCTAGCTTTAACCCCCTTTCCTCTAGCACTGGCCATAACGGTCTATCAGATTGCTCCAAATTAACTCAGATGAAGACCACAGAAGCTTGGATTTCTTTGCTCACTTGCTTAAGACTTTTCTGTTGTCCAATTGCCAATAAATGGCTTGTTAGAACTACAGAACTATTTGAAATCTCTAGAATGTTATAAGGTATTAGGTTGTTGTACATCACAACTAACTTAAATCCTGTGCTATCTACAATGATTAATGCAAAACTGCATCAGTGTCCTTGTTGCTGTGCTTAATGTTCCAGGCTGAGTGCTTTCCTGTGACTCCTGACAATCCTATTTCCTGCCCAGATTAAAAAAAAAATGACTTTTCAATGTTCAAGTAAGTTTAAATGATCATTCAGCCATCTTATATGATGGGCTTATATTAGGCTGATGTTAATCCTAATCCATTCATTATTTCTGTGCCTTCTAACTGATCTAGGCTACAATTTTGTGCAACTCAGGGAAGTTTCATGTTTTCTGCTGCATTCTCTAAAGCTCAAGTATTCAAGTTGGAATACTGAACTCATGACATGCTAGATTGGGAGAAATTATAACTGTCCTAGGCTCTGCTACCTAGATTTCAACAAAGAGAAGCCCCGAAGCCCCAGGCTGGCTCTAATTCCACTGGTCCCACTTCCCATCCAGCTTCCTGCTTGTGGCCTGGGACCGACCCTGCACGCACGTGTGTGGGAGACCTGGAGGAAGTTCCTGGCTCCTGGCTTCAGATTGGCGCAGCTCTGGCCATTGTGGCTGCTTGGGGAGTGAATCATCGGATGGAAGATCTTCCTCTCTGTCTCTCCTCCTCTCTGTATATCTGACTTTGCAATAAAATATATATACATATTATATATGTATATATATATATATTATATGGGATCCCAGTGCATTCAAGGCGAGGGCTTTAGCCACTAGGCAACTCTGCCGGGCCCAAGAAGTTTTTTAGTACTTCATATTTGGTATTCCAAGTAAGTGGATTCCTAAACTAGATAAAATTAGTAAAGTGATCACATACTGTTTTAGACATTTTGTTAAAGGTGAGTGTCATTTAAAAATCATTCTGTAGTGGATGTAGTGGATCCCTCACTTGTATGGACGCAATTCCTCTCCCAGTTCCTGCCTCTAGCTTCCACTTGTGAGTATCCTGGGTGGCACTCACGTGGTTCAAGTTCTTTGTTTCCAACCACTCACGTGGGAAACATGGATTGAGTTTCCAGCTCCTGTCCCCAGTCCAGCCCAGGCTTTGACAAGCATTTGGGGAGTGACCCATCAGCCACTAGATTGGTTCTTTCTTCTTTCTCCTCAAATAATTTACTGATATATTTATTTTTATTGCAAAGTTAGATATACAAAGGGAAGGAGAGAGAAAGATCTTCCATGCACTCATTCACTTCCCAAGTGGCCACAATGGCTGGAGCTGGGCCAATCTAAAGCCAGGAGCCTGGAGCCTTTTCTAGATCTCTCACACGGGTGCAGGGTCCCAAGGTTTTGGGCTGTCCTCGACTGCTTTCCAAGGCCATAAGCAGGAAGCTGGATGGGAAGCGGGACTGCTGGGATTAGAACTGTCATGTGTATGGGATCCCAGTGCTTGCAAGGTGAGGACTTCACCTGCTAGGCTACTGTGCCTATTTTATTTATTTTTGACAATCTTTACATAATTAGGGCACAAAGGCTCAAGGGCTACAGGAAAGTGGGTAAGACTATTATTTCCACATTAAATTTTTTCCTATATCTGGGGTAAAGGGGGAGGTAAAGGAGAAGCCCCACCCAGTCTCCCACCCAGCCCAGGTCCCTTATGTGGGGCATGCTCCAAGGGTCTTGCTCAAGTGGTTTTGATAGTTCAACAGTTATAAGCAGTGTTGCCATTCCAAGCACGATGAGTCGCTGAGGAATCCTCTGATATAGTCCATCTTAGAGTCTCTGTTTGCCCTGATTTTCACTGCCAACTTATGGCTGGGGCATTTTGTTAAGATGTGGGCTTGGGCCCGGTGGCATGGCCTAGTGGCTAAAGTCCTCACCTTGAACGTGCCAGGATCCCATATGGGCCCTGGATCTAATCCCGGCAGCTCCACTTCCCATCCAGCTCCCTGCTTGTGGCCTGGGAAAGCAGTAGAGGATGGCCCAAAGCTTTGGGACCCTGCACCTGCGTGTGGCAGACCTGGAAGAGGTTCCTGGATCCCGGCTTCAGATCGGCATAGCATCGACCATTGCTGTCACTTGGGGAGTGAATCATCGGACGGAAGATCTTCCTCTCCTCCTCTCTGTATGTCTGACTTTCCAATACAGACAAATAAATCTTTGAAAAAAATTGATTTGGGCTTCAGTCTGAATATTTTTTTTATCTGTTAATTCATCACTAAGTCTCTCTTCAACTGAATCGAACTTGTTAAATCCTTCATTAAGTTATGACTTTTCATTAAAATTTTTCCGTTTTCTTTTCACTTAAATTTTAATTTTGTTCATTTTCTCAACCTCATAACCATTTTCAAGTGTGTATGTGGCAATTCTAACGTCAGACCCTCCAGCAAGCTGGTTTCCTTTTATCATTTTTTTCCCCTGCTGTAGCAGGTTTTGGCTAATTGGTTGTTTCCAGGCATGAGTGATATTAGACACTGAGTACAAAAACCTGAATTAAGGCTTGCTATGTTTTGATATTTTTGTTTTGGCAAGGATGAGAGGCAGCTTGCAGTAACATGCTTAGGGGCTGAAGCGGTTCCCAGGTGTATGGAGATGGCTGAGGGCTCGTGTAGCTCCACTTCACGGCCTGCAGGGAGGCACACCACAGACCTGGGTGTCTCCCATGGCCTCCCCTTTGCCCTCTTTGAACTCCATGTTTGCTTCACCCAGGCTTTGGGCAGAACCGGAAGCTCTGCCCTCAAGTGAGCAAATGCCCCTGGGGAATGCTAGGTTAACGTGCTCTGTGGTTGCCCTCCACGCTCTGCTGTCTGGGGAGCTCCCCCAGTGTGTGGGGCTCACATGAAACCT